GTGGTGGTAAAACTGCCAAATATGGCATTGCATTGTTCATTAAGAGATCAAACGCACATCTCTCTTATATCAAAGAAATTGTTTCAAAATTTGAAGTCTTAAATTTATATTTGTTGAGGTCTGAAAAAACCTTAAAAAGCATTAAATTTGACTTTTCAAATGGTGCAAGAACCCTGATCCAGGCAAAGCGCCTCTTCAACCCCTGTTCTTGGTAGGACACAGATGTGGACAGCAATGAAAGGGAGCGTTAGCAACAAACCTACCCAACAACCAAGTGTGCAACAGGAGAACAGATTTTCACCACTATTGCAGGACCTTGGATCACTGTCTGATGACCTGAAAAACATCCCATCCTCACACAGAAGGGTAAGGACTAGAGTAAATCAGAAAGTGAAAGGCTGCAGGGAACAAGAAGACATAACACAACATGCCAGAGACCTTGAAGGAGAACCGCCACAGCTCCCACCGGAAGAGAGCTCTGATCATGGGAGACATCAGAGCCAAGAGAAAGAGTCTCCACCTCCCTTACTGAAAACCAACAGCAAGGATTCACCATCTTTAACCCCCCAATCCCACATCTAGGTCACCCTAATCTCCAGACACCCTTTCTCTCTCCTCATTGCACATGCATTTATCTCCAGTCGACTCGACTACTGTAACAGGGCTCCCTAAAACAGCTGCAGCTGATTCAGAACGCTGCTGCTCGAGTCCTCACTAAGACCAAAAAGGGGGATCTCATCAGTCCAGTTCTGAGGTCTGTACACTAGCTTCCTGTCTGTCAAATAACTGATTTCAAAATCCTTTTCTTATTAAAGCACTGAATGGTTTAGGGCCAAAATACATCTTCTGCTTCATTATGAACCATCCAGACCTCTCAGGTTGTCAGGGACAGGTCAAAACTAAACATGGAGAAGCAGCATTCAGTTTTTATGCTCCACATATTTCAAACAAACTCCCACGAAACTGCAGGTCTGCTGAAACTGTTAAATCAAGACTGAAGACTTTTCTTTTTACCACTACCTTTAACTGAATCAAACTTAAAGCTGTAGATTGATAACTTTCACTGAACTGTAACTTTAACTGTCCTCTTTTCCTTTTTCTTTGTTTTAAGATTTTCATTGAACACTATTTAAAAAGCTTAGAGTGGTCTTTTGATTGTACCATCTCACACGGCCGATCCTCAGTTAACAGGGCCGAGTAGAATTACAAGGGTTAGAGTCCCTGTTTTCTCCACAGTTGACTTGTTAACAGGGCCTGCTGTCAACACTTTTTACCAGAGTTTGTAGCCTGGACAATCTAGATTTACAGTGACGACTGTATCAAAGGAAAGGTTAGAGTCCCCTTAGGATTAAAGTCCTATCAACTGCTTTTACCAGAGTTTGTACACACTCAGAAAAAGAAGTATGGGTGTGTACTTAAAAGGGTATAAATACTTGTCACTGTGCAGGTACCCTTTTGAGAGACAACTGTGTACCCTTAAGTGCCAGTACATTTTTGTACCTTATGAAATTGGTAATTTTGTGTACCCTGCAAGACATAAACATACCTTTTAAACTATAATAATTAAATTATAGTACAATAATGGGTACTAATATGTCCTAATAAGGGTACCACCCCAACGACAAGCTATTATATTATTATAAATATATATATATATATATATATATATATATATTCCAGATGAACATGACATGCATTTGTGGTAATACAAAGAAAATTCCTTGCAAATATAGTTTCACAAAAAGGGTGAAACTACACCTACTCTGAAACTACACGACGCATTGAACAAAAGATACTTTGATTTGTCCCCCATCTGCATGTACACCATGCATCAAAAAAAAGTCATAGCATATTCAGACAAATTCAAAATAACAATATATTTAGGCGCAGCATCGTTAGACAGAAATACCTCAATGAATCAAACAATCTACCATCAACTAAATGTGTGTCTAGAGCCTGATGGTGGAACTCATTTCCTGGATTTAGCAGAATCCTATCGTTGACAAAATTTTCCCACACAACACCCCAAAAGTCTCAATGTTCAGAATGTAATTAATTTTCAAGAATAAAAAGAAATGGCTTCAGTGTGTACATGACCAACAACAAAAACATCCTCAAGGGCATATTTTACACCATTACCAGATAGACGACACAGGCTGAAGCACTTTATCCTATAACTGCACATCTTTAAAATACTAGGTGGTGTGTGTGTGTATGTTCAACTAGTTATTCAAAAGGTTCTTCAGTTACTTTTTTTTCAGCAATTAGAAATATTGTCTTGTAAATTATATATCTAAATATTGTGTATTCAATAAATATGCCGAAAAGAATGATATTTGGAAAAAGCCGACTGGCAATTACTTATCCCAGAGTTTACACTGAAATGGGGTTCATGGGCAAGTCCAATGTGCTGAATCAGTTTCCTTAGAGCAAAGGTCCTCTTTGAACATTTCAAACACTAATGCAGTCCAAAGCATAATCAGTAAAGAAGGTTAACCCCTCGAGTTACAGTTACCAGCAGGGGTTTGTCTCTATCCTCCATAATGTTTGTGATGTGCCTTTGGAGAAAGTTCTTTGTGTCTTTTGAAAGTATGCCGGATATGTCATGTTGAAGACAAAGCAGAAGGCTGTGATAAAGGCCTCATCCACTAAAATGCAGGAACAAACTTAAATTCCATTCACTTTGACAACACTCTACACTGTAGAGGACAATTTTCCAGTCGTGGTCTTTGAGTTGAACGGTAGGATGGAAGTTAGTGAATCATTCTACCTAAGAGAAAAATAACATTTTAGCATACATAACAAGATGGATCCGATAAGGTAAGGATAGAAATCCAAAATAATATTCCTAGGTAAAAAAGATGTTAGCATTTTAAGGGTGCCTTGCTCACTTGACTGACATGTTCATAAATTTGCAAATGCACGGAATAAACGACACAATGTCAGTGTAACACAAACAATTTCACATTCAGGTTTTACATTGAAATAGACATTCAGTTAGTAGAATAGTATCAAATTACAACACTTTGCACCCATAACTGAAAGCTAACAGTCCATAGACAGTCACTGCACATGATGTCTGACATTGGCTGCAATGTTAAATGTAAATGCTCCGTACTTGTATAGCGCCTTTCTAGTCTTTTCGACCACTCAAAGCGCTTTTACACTACATCAAAAAAAAACTGACATTCACACACACACACACTGTTCAGTATCTTGCCAAGGACACTTCGACATGCAGCCCAGGATTGAACCTCCAACCTTCTAATTAACTGCCAACCCGCTCTACCTCCTGAGCCACAGCCGACACAATTCATGTGAAGGAGATAGCTGGGCCTCATCTAGCTAGGCGGTATCAATGGTGGTTTTTTCAAGGAACCACATCGCTTCATTGCAAGGTTGCAACACACACGTCTGCCGTGTATTAAGCATGCAGTAGAAAGTTATATGAGCCTTCACAATCGGATTTAGCAATAAGGAGTTACTCGTGAGTTTAGCCCACAATCACTATATTATCATGCACCTTAGAGACTTTGCTGTGGGTTGGGTGTATTCAGAAGAAATTACCAGAGTGATTTTTATTTTTTGTGACTTTAATTTCAGGGAATTTACGAGTTTTGTTCATGTAAATTTAATTATTTACTTATTTTTTTCTCTGATTATTAACCCCCACTCTGGATCCATTTTTTTGACACATGAAATAGTCAATCTAAATATGTGAAAACACTGAGGATTCAATTATAGCTACAGATGGGCTACATCTCAGAAACTGTCCTGTTACTTAATTAACATCTCCTTCCTTACTAGTGGCTACCTCGATAAGCCAGTTATCTCGCTTCGTAGCACAGGGCACAGAACCACAGAACAGACAACAAAATAGGCACAGGTAATAAACTAACATCTCTTTTATTCCTTTTCTTCTAAAGTTCCATCGCCGTTTGATTCGGTCATGTTCCTTCGAGGAGCTCATCAACTTCTTTCTGTAGGATGAACACCTGGGTTTCCAGAACAATCTTCTCCTTACATTCCTTCACCCCTTCAGAGTTGAAGTTGATTGACTTTGTGAGATTAGCAATCATTACTGCGTTCTGAGTTAACTTTGTGTCAAGCAGCGTCTTCTTGGTTACAAATCTTGAGTGAAGTGCTTGAATTGCTTCTAACACATCGGTAGTGGTTGGATTTTGTTTGATCATTTTTATGGAATGAGCTCCTTTAGATGGAGTTAGTGGTGGGGAGTCACTTATCTTGTCAATGCCTTGTTTCTCTCCACCACTGGGCATAGTCTCCATGTGCCACCTGTATTCCTGGTCCTGATAAGACATAGTTTGGAGGTTCTTTGCATCACCTTTCCGCATTTTGGAGGTTTATATGTAGCTTCTTTAGTTCTTTTGGCATGGTTAGACAATCAGTTATAACTACTTAGCAGGGGTAAAGTAACCGAAAAACTCACTTTGACTACATACAGCTGCTTTGTTGGCAATCTTGCAAAGCCCCCCCCAGTTTACTGCCAAAAACAAAAACAAATACCCAGACCCAGACTGTCAAGCTTATTGTTTATCATTGTATTCCCATAAAATCTGATGTTTAAATTCACATTTTGCTTGTTGAATAGTGATGTTACTGTCTAAATGATCTAAATGATCTAAATGATCTAAACCAGTAAAGGTCGCAACAGAAGCGGTACAGTGGCTGGACGGTGTGGTTTTGATCGTTCAAACATCATCTGGAGAGCTGTTAATCTGAATACTGTCTCTTTGAAGTTTTACCAAATAGCAACGGTCTGCATACAATGTCTTACCGATGTAACTTAAAACAGTGGGTTGACATCTGCAAGATGTACGTGTACTGTCTGGGTTATAATTTGTGTTTATAAATTGGAATGTTATTTGTGACTCATAGGCTGTGCATTTACAACGATACTGACATTGATTTACCTCCACAGAATAAGACTTGAAATAAGGCTGCTGTGATTGAACCTCTCTGTCTGTGTGACCTCACAGTTTCCCAGCATGCCTCAGCTGTGGAGCTGTATGAGGGGGAGGAGTTTGTCCTGCTGCCCTGTGAGTTTCAAACGTTTGACATAGACTACCCCACAGTGGTGTGGAGCCGCTGCGATATCAATCCTCCAACCGTCCACCAGCGTCAGCAGGAAGGTGATGAACTTACAGACCAAAACCAGCTTTACAGCGGCCGAACATCCATGATGACTGACGCTCTGGAAACTGGAGACCTCAGCCTCAAGCTGACAAAACTCCAGCTCTCTGACAGCGGCAGCTACACCTGCACCGTCAGTGCGTCAGGAGGACAATGGAGAGTGACAGAGATACAGCTGCAGGTCAAAGGTCAGCAACAGACCCTAACACCTACTGTAGGTACAGGTCAGAGGTCAGAGGTCATGTTCTTTATGTTTCTGGTTCCCACAGAACGATTTCCACCCTGGGTCAAAGCTTTCCTGGTTCTCCTGGTTCTCCTGGTTGTTGGTCTTGTTGCTGCTGGGGGTCTTCTGGTACATTTCCGGCAGTATTTCACGTCAGGTATGTCACTACTGCTACACTTCCAGCATATGAAGGTGTTATTGGCCAATCAGAGGATCACCTTTGGGCACCTGTCTACGTCTTCAATGTGACCACAGCCTTGACGTATGATAGCTACAGTAGCTTAAAGAAAGCAACTCAGGGACTGAATCTGATGGATTTACTGTTTATCAGAGCGGAGTGCTGGAAAATGTTCATTCTGAAGCATGATGAATTACCAGTTTGAGTCCAGCATGGAGGCTGGATTATGTGGAGCTCTGTAGGCCTCTTCCAGTAGAGTTAGTTAACCTGAGATGAGGGAAACTCTGGGTTTTGTGATCCAGAAAGAGAGCTAACTTTAACTCTGGGTCAGTTGCCATAGTAACTGACTCTGTGACCCCTGCGGGTCTCCTCCCTCTTACAGATCCAGACTCGCTATTTCATGTTCTCATTGATTCAGTCAAAAAGTGAACACTGAATGTTATTATTTAAGTTATGTAGGTTGCATAAGTTACACAAGTAACGTTACTTAACTTACATTAGTAATATTGCTCATTTTAACCCAAACTATGATCTTTTATTAAACCTACCTAAATTGTGACACTTCACAACGTTAAAACATACTTTTATTTTGATAGTCTAACCCAACGTTCCATATTTATTGTTGCTAACTTGACTGCGGAGCCTTAAACATTGAAAAATGGCACTAAATGCTATGAGGTCTTTTGGGAGTGTGTGTGAGAATGTGATGTGTTGAAAGTGACTTAGGACTATCTCAAGTTACTGCTTTTACTTGTTACCCAGGTTACACAGAGTTAACAACACAGAAGTGCTTTAACCAATCTATAAGCCAAGCTAGACTGCATATGCCATTTAGGTGGCGCTGTAGGAGAGGATGGTAGAAATGTAACAGATAAAACAGTAAAACTACATTATAACCAGTGTGCGAACTATACCATAGTTTATGGAGGAGCTCACTTTTTTTCTGGGGGAGGGGGGACAGACTGTGATTCTTATGCCGCATTCAGACCAACCGCGAATTTTCGCCTCGCGACGCTTTCCTCGCGTGAGTACATTTGCTGCAAGTATTCACACACAACGCGAGAAGGCGATTTTAACGCAATAAGGTGAATAAACACAACTTGCCATTACTACAACTGTATGAACCCAAAGTAAACATTTTGCAGTTCCTTCAGCAGACGAGCTTTATGGAGATGCTGACTTCATTTTCCAGCAGGACTTGGCACCTGCCCACACTAGTACCAAAACCTGGTTCAATGACCATGGGATTACTGTGCTTGATTGGCCAGCAAACTCGACTGACCTGAACCCCATAGAGAATCTATGGGGCATTGCCAAGAGAAAGATGAAAGACATGAGACCGAACAATGCAGAAGAGCTGAAGGCCACTATTGAAGCATCCTGGTCTTCCATAACACATCAGCAGTGCCACAGGCTGATAGTATCCATGCCACGCTGCATTAATTCATGCAAAAGGGCCCAAACCAAGTACTGAGTACACATGCATGATTATACTTTTCAGAGGTCTGACATTTCTGTATTTAAAATCCTTTTTTTTTATTGATTTCATGTAATATTCTAATTTTCTGAGATTTTGAATTTGGGGTTTTCATAAGCTGTACACAATAATCATCAAAATTATATCAAATAAAGGCTTGAAATATCTCACTTTGCATGTAATGAGTCTATATAATATATTAGTTTCACCTTTTAAGTTGAATTACTGAAATAAATGAACTTTTGCACGATATGCAAATTTTTCGAGTTTCACCTGTACATCTGCATTCACCCCACATTTATACACTGAGCCTAAGTGCTCAAACACAAACTAAAATTCACCTACATTCACACACTGGCAGAACAGCCACCTAGGGCAATTTCGTACACGTAGGTGCAACTTAGAAAGAAAGAAAATAAATCCCTTCAGTTTCAATAGCACGGTTCGTGCTCAGGCCCTAAAAAGATAATTCCTTCTGTTTCAATAGGGACTTAACATGTTTCGTGCTTGGACCCTAATTATCCCTTCAGTTTCAATAAGGACCTCGCACGTTTAGTGCTCGGGCCTTAATTAATATAACATATGCGACTGTACTGCAGGTTAGCAAAGCCGGACGTAATGTTGTTCAAGTAAGCTGCTAGCCAAAAGGCTAATGGAAGAACAAGGGAGAGAGGCCTTCCTTCCAGAGCTGTACTGTGATACAGTGAGTGCCATTTAGCCTGGCTGTGTCACACTCAGAGATGCAAAGAACATTCTCTTCTGTTGTAAACTTTGTGCGACCAGCAAAAAGTTTACAACCGCAAACAATTTTATATTGAAGCATCTGCTAAAGCAGCACAGCAACATGAAACTTAGCCTGTAGAGAGAAACTCTGGCAGCTGCTGCCAGTTAAGCATTCACTCAACAGGATAGAGTGGCGTTAATGATAGTTTTGTGTTTTGTAAAAGCACTGAATACTTCTCTTATAAATGCATGTGCAAAACAGTAATGTTAGTTCTGAAGTCGAGACGCTTGATTTTTTTTTTATCTCAGACAGTGGCGTTAAAAAATGGAATGCTTCGTAAAAATCATGCTTATTGATGCTGTTATGAGTATGCGATTAATTAAAATGTCAGGAGGGACCTGCTTTGTTTTTTTATTATTTTTAAATAGCCTATATCCATATCTTATATCCATAGCCTATATGATACAGCATCCCCTGGTCTGAGAGGCTGCAATGTTTTCAGTTCGGCTGGTTGTTGTTAATTATTGTTCCAGTAAAGACTTAATGTTTTATTTAGATTGTGATTTTATTCTTGTAATATTATGACTTTTGTCTGAAAATATTATTCTGCAGAATGCCTTAAAGCTGCACTGCATTATTTTACACTTTATTTTTTATTATTAAAAATGTTTAAACTGTCACCAGTCATCTGAATTTTGTGTTTGTATAAATAAAGACATTTCCTCAATATACTGGTGCAGAAAAATCACCAAAATACATTCTAAAAATATTAAAAGATTTGAGCCAGTTCTCATCTCAGGGCATCCAATATTGATGCTTTCAGAAAATGATAAAGCGTAGTTATTTGACGCGTCTGTGTGAGACGCTCCCGGTGCATCTCTAAGAGACCCCGCAAAACTCAAAACTACATGGAAACATACAAAACATACAAAACAAAACACACCCAACCAACCCAAATCTGTGACACTAACTTTAGTAAAGATTTGATTGAGTCCATCTGACAATAATACTCAGTGATTTAATAAACAGTCAGTTGTGCTGTTGATTGTAGAGACACCAAAGACAAGACTGTCTCTGTTAGATGGAACAATGGGACATATTTCAGAGTTCCTGCTGCTGTCTGTACAGCTGATGTTGTGCTTTGTTGTCCTCTCAGTCTACCAGGTGGAGGTGGATTCAGGGGCGGAGTCTGTCCTGCTGCCCTGCAAAACCACAGTTCACCTGCCTGAAGACGTCACAGTGGAGTGGAGGGACAGAGACAAAAGGAAGGTCCATGTGTATCAGAACGGCTCTGACCAGCCTGAAGAACAGTACGAATATTACAGAGACCGAACAGAGATGAAGAGAGACCTACAGAGATCTGGAGACCTCAGTCTGACTCTGAAATACCCCACTGATGGAGACACAGACACCTACACCTGCACCGTCTACAGCAGGAATGGAAGCATCCTGATTAAGAAACAAGTAGAGCTCGAGGTCAAAGGTCAGTGCTTTAGATACAGATCAGAGGTCAGAACTGTAGATACAGGTCAGAGGTCAGAGCTGTAGATAATCATGTTTCAGTTGAAACCAAGCGGGAAGCTTCCAGTCTGAGGAGTGAAGCCAACGCAGAAGCCCCTTAAACCTGCATTCTATCGAATGGCCAACAGGGGGCAACTCCTCCAGTTGCAAAAAGAATCAATCAATCAATCAAAATGTATTTATAGAGCACTTTAAACATCCAAAGTGGACACAAAGTGCTGTACAGAAAAATAAATAAAAGACACTAATACATAGCTCACACGATGCATAAAATGCAGTTAAAACAAAAACAACCATACAATAAAACAATAACATCAATACAATAAAAAAAAAAAGAAATGTCAACTTCAGTTTTCAAAGGCAAAGAAAAAGAGGTAAGTTTTAAGAAGAGACTTAAACAGACAGGGAAGATGCCTGTCTATTGTGTAATGGTAGATCGTTCCACAGTTTAGGAGCTACCACAGCAAAAGCACGGTCCCCTTTCAGCTTGCGCTGTGTTTTGGGCACACAGTTGATCGGCTGATCTGAGAGAATGAGTGGGTGCATGGGGTATAGCAGCTCAGAGATGTAGGGTGGACCATTAAGACATTTAAAAGCAAATAAAACAAGAAGACGTAGTGACGAAACACGCTCTGTAGCGCTGTTTGTCCGCATCTTATATTGCATTTCTGTCGATAGATCCTCAGAAATATTACACACTGAACCTTTAAAGGTCACTTCCTTTTGCCAGCAGGTGGCACTATGACTATGAGTGAATGTTGGGATATGGTTGTGTTCAGGGCGGGACTCTTATTATACATTTTCAAATTTAGTGCAGATGTGAGCATGTCCACTGTAGTTAAGTTATTACAACTTCCTGTTTCATGGTGAATCATCAATTTTTGATGACACTCCACGGGCAAGCTGGTCGACTTGTAACAACTGTTTGAACAGCTTTTAATTGTCAATGGGTTTAGAGTGTAGAGAGTTCTTCAGTTTCAATAGGGACCTCGCACTTTTCGTGCTCAGGCCATAATAATCCCTTCAGTTCCAATAGGGACCTCGCACAGTTGTGCTCGGGCCCTAATAATCTTAAAATGGATACTCTAACGTACAGGCAGCCAGTGGAGTGAGGCTAAAATAGGGGAAATGTGCTCATGTTTACGTGTTCCAGTTAAGAGACACGCTGCATCATTTTGTACCATCTGGAGATGAGTCACTGACCCCCACGTAGAGTGCATTACAGTAATCCAAACAAGTGGCAACAACGACGTGGAAACAGCAAAATGTACAACAAAAAGTAATGTGGTTGGTTTGGACATGTGGTAATCATGTCAGGGGGTGATTGTGATGTATTAAATCATCTCCACAGCAGCGATACGATGCTACATGCAAAGTCTGAACTGTCTTCTTAATCAGTCAAAATACCTCTGGAAACACCTTATATTTCTTCCTTTATATACTTATTTTTAATGATGTTTCAAAATTATCTATTTGTGATATAGGTTGTAGTATTAGTAGTATTATATAATAACAACAAACAAGTGTTATACCACACTTGGATGTCATTATTGGAGACATAAGACATAAATGAAGTTGCTTGATTGTTTATGTGGCAAGTGCAAAGAAAAAGCATTTATCATTTTCAATGTTTTATTTAAAAAAGAAGAATGAAAATATTCTCCAGAACAGGAAAAATATACTTTGTATTTTCTCTACCCTCCTAGGAATAAAACAAAAACAATGTACAGGTATTTATCCACACAGTGACGGAATTATTTGTATAGCACTGTGGCAGTTAGTAGGGCTGGGTATCGTTCAAAGATTTTTGATATCGATACGATACCTCGACTTTGATACCGGTTCCTGAACGATACTTTTTTCGACACCAATTTTATTCTCAACAAACGGAGAACCATTGTTGTTTGTATAAAGTAACTTAATTATCACATTATTATCATTAATAGTTTATTTTAATAACTGTTCCTTTGAAAAATGCTACTGTTTGTCAAAACCAAGACATATTTTCAATGTAACATAGGCCTATATTCTGTTTTTGTTGTGCATATTCCTCTTTCTTTGATTTTTCTTGTCTTTTTATTGTTTATTAATTATATATTTTTTATAGTTCATATGTGAATTTGTGCAACATTGCTACCTAGACATTCATGGCAATAGGCCTGAAAGAAAGAGAGAGAAATCTCTCATCTCTTCTCATGGAAACAAGTTTCTGCCACTACATATAAAAGTTTCCTCCTCACTAGAGGAAGAGGTGGCCAGGCGACAACTATCACAATAAAAAGTAAACTCAGCTGCGCGTGTCTTTAACCCACTGCAGCAAAGTCGCAGACATCAGCCCAAGGATCGGTACGTGATGTCACTATCAAACGGAAGCGCTTGCGCCGGCTGCACATAAAGGCACACCCTGCTAGGATCAAAGCTCTGTCTTGTCCTAGAGGATCAGGATAACAGTTGTGAGTCTTCCAGAAACAGCAACTCAGTATCACGACTCTGTGTCTAAGTGCTCCACACTGCCACACTACAAACTGTCTGTATGCTGCCTGACTGAACTGCCTGTTACTCTGTCCTGAGTCTGGAAGATCAGCCATGTGTGGTGCATGGAAACACTGTAGTCTGGATGTTGTCCACAGTCCTCAGATTCTGGCCTGTAAAGGAATATATAGATTCCGGCCAATAGGACATCACTACCGATACGTGTTCCTACTGCCTCAGTATCCTTTTTTCTTCAGCAAACGGCGAACTGCTCACTGAATTCACCACCACCATGGATGAAGTCGCCACTTCTAGAAATTAATCTTTACACCCAGGTGAGGTGACCCATGTCCTGCCTGGATGAGTCCAGGACTCTGCATTCCCAGTGCGCCCAGGAGGACTCGCACGGGCGCGTTGCTAGCTCACTGGCAGTGAAAGCATGTTACATAAACAGACACGCTGCCCTGCCAACATCACTTTCGCCGAGTGGTCACAGCGCAGCTACGCTAGTCCGCTATAGCCGGAGAGAGACAGCCACGGTCAGGTCTCCCTTGGTATAGTGGGACAAAAGAGATTGCTTGCGGTTTCTGCTGGCTTTGTTTCCTCCATGAGCGGCTCGTAGCACCTTGTTGCAGCAGGTGAGGCTGTCTATCCTGCCGCTGCTTGACATGGAAGCTGTGAGCTTGAGACTGACGTCAAGACCGGGTGACGCGCCAACCACAGTCACAGCTGTGGTGCATTCATCGCCCGGTCAGCCTTTTATAACTCTGGCCATGGTGCGTTCAAGGACACCACGGCCTTTTCGATGGCAGCCCCTTGAAGAGTCTCAGCCTTATTTATATATAGAAATAAAGGGTGACAGAGGGACAGAGGCTGATGCACACCACCTGACCTCTTCCCTCCGTTATGTGTCCAGCATGCAAATTTGTGTTCTATGTGCTGCTTGTGTACACACTGAATGTTCAACTGACATGGGAAAGGACTGACCCAGTACGGGGGGCGTGATCGATTTTAGCTGTTCTAGCTTTTTTCTGTCCAAAAACAGTGGCGCTTTGTGTCAACGGAGACGTCTGGCGGGCCGCCATCTCGGCTGCCATTTCTGTCATCAGATCGAAGTGGAGAAGAAGAGTTTGATTTGATGGAGGCGATCTTTGTCGGCTGCTGGCGACCCGTACGAGTTAAACAGACATGCAGGATTTATTGAATTTATTAATGGATTTATTTTCCTTAGCTTCTGACCTTTCAAAGGAGACCAGAATTATGCATCTTGCCTTAATGGTTGAGGAGATATTACTGATTTAATTTGGGTGTTATTTTAGGCATTTTTCCTAGAAATAGGTGTCAGGGTCCACGTGGTTAATAATATAATAATCTATTTGTAGAGCACTTTTCAAACACTAGTTACAAAGTGCTTTAACAAGTGACAAGACAGTAATACCCAAAAGACAATAATACAAAAACAATACAAGATAAAAGCATGAAAACATTGAAAAGACTAAAATACACGTTTAAGATAAATATAAAATTAGTAAAATAGAATAAAATAAAAGGGATAAAATAAACTCAAATAAGATCGGGAAAGGCTCTCCTATAAAAGTATGTTTTAAGAAGGGACTTCACTGGAAGGGAGTTCACTGACTCAGCCGACCTGATTTCCTCGGGCAGGCTGTTCCAGAGCCTCGGGGCCCTGACAGCAAACGCTCTGTCCCCTTTAGTTTTCAGTCGAGACTCTGGAACAGACAACAGACCTCTGCCCGAGGATCTCAAGGTATGTGCTGGTGCGTATGGGACTAAAAGGTCAGAAATATAACAAGGCGAGAGGCCATGAAGAGCTTTAAAAGTGATCAATAGAATTTTAAAGTCAATTCTAAAACATACTGGGAGCCAGTGTAATGAAGCTAAAATAGGAGTAATGTGGTCATATCTCTTTGTTCTGGTTAAAAGCCTGGCAGCTGAGTTCTGGACAGTCTGGAGTCGATCAATAGATTTTTGGGTTAAACAGGTGAAAAGGCTGTTGCAATAATCCAGGCGTGATGAGATGAAGGCGTGTAAAATGGTCTCGGTGTCCTTAAAAGTTAACATAGATCGAATTTTTGCTATATTTCTAAGTTGATAAAAACATGATTGAACAAGCTTTGTGGTGTGCTGCTCGAAATTTAATACTATCAAACAAAACACCAAGGTTCTTTGCCACAGGCTTAATGTGATTTACTAGGGAACCAGCAGATGGCAGTATTTGTTTTGCCATCTGCTGGGACCCGATGACCAGGATTTCTGTTTTGTCTGAGTTCAGCTGGAGGAAATTATTTGACATCCATTTTTTAACTTCAAAGGCAGTTGTTAAGTGAACTCAGCATTCCAGGGTCTGTGGATCTGACGGGAAAGTATATTTGTGTGTCATCAGCATAAATATGAAAAGAAATGCCATGTTTATGGATAATATGTCCAAGGGGAAGCAGAAAAAAACCAACAAAATGGGTCCTAAGACCG